AATATAACAATATAAATGAATATATCCATTATATTTATTAAAATAATAATAATTAATAGCTTTTTTAATTTTTGAAGTTTTCTATTTTAATTATTTTATAATAATAATTTTCTATATAGCATAATTGTTTTTTATTTAAGAATGTATTATGTTAGAAAATAGAAACTTGATATTTTATTACGTACACAGATAGAATATACATTTATTTTATTTTGCTAGTATTTTCTTTTTAAAGTTCACTTCCTTGCTTCAATAATGCATATCAATAATTGTTTGTTAACCTATTTAAAAATATTGATATTTTTACTATAAAAAGTTCAAGGATAATTAAAAATAACTTATTAACTCATCATTTAACTTGCCAATAATTTAAACTTCATAATTTATTTATCCTTTAATAATTTCCTATTTTTAATGCATCGTTAAGTTTTTCTATACATATTAAATTGCTTTATGCATATTTATATTTTCTATTTGTAAAAAAGACTAGAAATTTAACTAAAATTAACTTCTTATTTCTTTCCTTTAATTATATGTAAAGCCTTATCTATCTAAGAATAATAAAGGTATATAGTCTATTGTATGCAATTTATTTACACACAAAAGAAAAATTTGTAAATCATTGTATTTATTACATTATTTTAATATTAATTACACTGCTAGTAATGTTACATAATTTCAATATAATTATATAATTTCAATATTATTATATTATACTTTCATATATGTGTGTATTTATAACTATAATAGTATTAGATAATAATAACATTGTATATTATTCATATATTAATTCCATGCTATTTAATTAGGTCCAAGTTTATACATTAAACATCATATCATTTTGTAGTACTCTTTTATGGGTATAAAAATTTAATATAGTGAAAATATAAATATATAAAATAATAGAAAAATGATAGAAAAAACTTTTAATATCAAATACATTAAAGTACATGTATATATATCTACAAAAAAAGATTAAAAAAAAAAAAGAATAAATAAATAGATAAATAGATATAATCTTGCTCATTTGTTAATAATAAACTCATGATTTCTTATTCGAAATGCAATACGTACATCGATTCCTAGGGGAAATCTCGTTAATCTTTCCTTCATACCCTTCGCACGTACTATATATCCAGATGAATTGACAAAGAAGCAACTTTACACTTCAAATCCCTCGGCAACGAAGTACAAGCGAACTGGTATAAAGCCAATCCACGAAATTTACGTCTCGTGAGTTTTCGCCTCGCGTTCACGTATATCAGGTGCTTCTGTTTCAAGAATTATCATCCATTCTGAAACTTTTGACAGAGGAAGGATCCAACTTGCATTCCATGCGAAACAGGAGTCGATGGAATAGTATGGATACCAATGGAATGGTATATACGCGTGAGCTTTTTACTGTTTGCACAAAAATGGAATTTTCTAACGAGATTTTCCTTCCTTCATCTCGTCCTCGAAAATCAAATATATATTTCCTTTCGTTTGGTTCGAATTTTGAATTTTCTATTTTGTGTTTTTTTGTTAGATGAGAGAAAAAAGTTTCTTAAATTTTTATCAATGTTAACTCTTTTCTTCTTATATATATAAAAATCCTTTTTGCTTTAACTGAAATTATATTTATGTCGTATTTACTTAATATCTTGAGTACACTTGTGTACACTTTGAGGTTATGTTGTGTAGATGTATTTATGCATATTATGAAAATTCTTGTAAATTATTTTATTTTTTGTTTATGTTATGTTAAAATAAATAATAATAACAAGAATACAAAGTTAATGTAATAAAAATAAAGAATTAACATAATGATGTTTGAATAATAATAATAATAGTAATAGCATAATATAATGCATCTTTATAGAAATAAAAAAGTGTAAAAACATTTTTTGAATAAAAATTAAACTTTTATTATAAAGTTTTTAAATATTCAGTTTATATTTTATAATGTAATATTCGTAATTTTGTTATAATCATTTTAAAAACATTTAAAAATTAGATTTTTGTTATATTATATGTATATAATGTATAATATTTATACTTATCATAATCGTTTAAAAATATTTTATGGATAAATATCAGACAACATTTTTACCTGGTAAAAAGAAGAGAAATCGGTATTTTGTGCAGGCTTTGGTCTCGATTCTGTAGATGAAACTGTCATCCGCCGAGCGCTCCCTCCGTTTGACAAAAGGGATCGGCAAACCAGTATGTCCATTTCAGAATTGAACTCCGGGGGGTCGTGCACATTAGAAATAGCTATGGCTGGAATAAACGTGACAACAGCAGCCGTTTGTCCGTAATAATCGAAATTACTCGCCCATTTTGTAACATGTTTGTATATTTGCTGTAATGTTTATTTCCATTCGTTTTAATTCTAATCCATTTATGACTCTTTAAATTATCATTAAATTCAAGTTCTTTTATTTATGACTTTATTTTTTATTATTATTATTGCCATATTAATATTCTTTATTGATGATAACTGTTTGTAATTATCTAATGTAAAAAATTTTTATGCTGTTATACTATGTATATTATTACATAGTTGTATAATTATATATATATATATGATGTAATATATATAATGTATGGATATTTTATGATTGCTTGAATGATTAAATGATCATATGATTTTGTGATAATTACATGGTTATATAAATATTATTATATGAATGAATTTAACTACAAATTATTACATATAAAATAATATTAATATTGTATAGTAATAAATCTATAATATAAATAAAGTACTTTGAAATATTAAATTATTATGTACTATATGGAGAAATGAAAATATGAACATGATACAATATTTAAAATTTCTGAAAGTTTTAATAAATCTCGACAAATCTAAAATATAAATTAAATATATAAATTATACCTATTGATTAAAAAATATAAACATTAAATAGTTAACAATTAAAATTTATAAAAATGCTTATATCTTATTTATTAATTCAAAAAAGAAAAATAAATAATTTTTCTTTTGACTATCAACTTTTCTTATACATCGACAATATTTTAAGTTATTGCTTCTATGACTACAATTAGCTAGTATAAATCAATGAGCAAATTTGGCCGTACACAACGAAGATTTATTGAACGATCGAATATCGAGAATCATAAATTATGACGAACGAATATCGAGTTTCTCCTCGAGGGGGGAAGTGAATGCACATAGTACCATCGTAACATAGGGGAGGTATAAGCTTCCTTTTTAGGGGATGTTATCCTGCTCTTGTTCCCTTCTAGCTATAACTATAAATTGTCAAAGCTTGCATTATAATGATTACGACTTGTCGATAAATAAGACTTATCAGGCTTTCAGCCTATATGTAAATATTAGTCAGTTTCACGTAATTGTTAAGTAATTACCCCATTAAATTAGATAATGCAGGATTGATTAAATATTTTCAATTTAATTTTTTATTGGAAAATTTCTAAATATTTGATATATTTTTTAGATTATACAATTTTTACATAAAAATAAATTGTTTCTAATTTTTAAAATTTTATAATTGCAAATTTTTGTATCAGATTATTTAGAAAAGATGTTTAGATGTTTTAGATATTTCTGATATAATTCCATTTTTAGAGATTCATATAACTATTGCAAACATTTATTCGACTTATTGTGTAATATTTTGTTTTAAATATTGTAATTCAGTTACAATTTTGTTTTATTAATTTAATCTATCAATGTAGCAATAAAAAAAGAACTAACTCGTTCAACTTTTTTTTATCTATCTATTATCTACTTATAGTAATAAAATATATAAATAATAAAATGAAAATTTAACTACAATATATGCTATCTTATTTATTAATTATAATTAATCATTGATTTTTTTTTTCTGAAGAATCTTTAGGATTTCTTATCTAAGATTATATATTCATTAATTAAATCTTTTTTATCAATTAATAATCATACTTCTTATAAATAATAAAATTCATTAATGTTCTTAATATTTAACATTTTATCTCTTAATAAAAGTAATATTAAAGTTATTAATTTTTATCATTAAAGCGATCTTTGAAAGGATATTTTCATTAATCGTTGAATATTTGCATTATGAAAATTTATGAAGGCGATTTATTTAAGTAACGTAAAGAAGAGAATCTAAAATGCAATGATTTCATCCTTTGTTACTTTCCATCTTTGACGATTCTTCATTGTAATCTCTTCTCCATAATCAGATGATCTACATTTAATTAAAGAGAAATTCTTAATTGAAGAATAGCAATTAACGGGTGTGCGAATATCTATCGTGATGTAATATAATGTATTGTTCGGTTAGCAAGATGACACGTAACAGAGCAATAGATTGCAAAACGTCATTGTTATGAAAAGAATACATTATACATATAATTGAAAATAATATATGTGAAACGAAATTAATTTTTTCATTTCCGACATTAACTGAAAATCGTGTAGAAAATGTTGCTTTTCTATTGTTATGAAACGAATTAGGAAATTGAAATAGTAAATTATGTAAAAAATGAATATAAATAAGAGAAAATATGTTTCATTATTTATAATAAAATAATTAATCTGATTAATTATTCCATCCAGTATAAATAATATTCAATTCTTTCGAATTGTATCCAGTATAAATAATTTTTTATCCATCATTCAAATTTTTAATTATAAGTTTTTCATTATTCTTTTTTTAAATAAATAGTCTACAAAGATTTTTTTTCATTTTCTAATTCAAATCTAATAAAATAAGATATCAAAAAAAGATTAAAATTTAGATATGTAAATATAAAGAAATCAAATCTACCCTTAATTTACAACTACTTCAATCTCTCTCTCTTTCTTTCTCTCTCTCTCTCTCTCTCTCTCTCTCTTTTTCTCTGTCTGAATTTATATGATCAATTAACGAGTGAGAAAATGATTACAGGGCCGAATGCCGAATGGAGATTCCTATTTAAAGCTCTCGCTTCGTATATCTCGCGGTTTCTTTAGACAAAGATGTAGAGTGTCACGTCAATTTCAGATGGTCCCTTTATCCATCCCGGCAATACAAGCTTCGTGAAGGACCACTCAGAAAAATGAGCGCAGCCGTAGAAAACGGCGTGGATGCCTCGAAGCCGCGCGGCGTTTTCTCGAGGGCGTTCGCTAAACGGGCGCAACCCTTCGAGGAAGGTGAGTTTTGCGGGGAAAATAAATGGCACAGGGATTACACGCGGTGCACATGGGGCTTTTTTGGTGATTGGCCGTTGCTACCTCATAAAGCACAATAACTGGGTAGTGGATGCAGTGGTGAAACTGCGAAGAATTCTTCTAATAAATGGCTTTTCTTTTAAAAAAAAAAGCTTGCGAGAAATCGAGATGCATAGATTTGTAGAAAAATCGCAAAAATCGCGTTTTTTTAATGGAAAGAAAGAATGTAGATGTTGCTTTGTTGATTTATATTTTCTAATTTTTCTTTTTTTTTTCTTTTTATTTCATTTTACTTTTGTATTTGTAGCTATTATTGTATTTTTTTATTTATACTCTTGATTATTATATTTTTATTTCTATTAGAAATAATAGAGTTATATAGGATGGATCGAGATTGATAAGCATTTTAATTATTTTCGATATGACTTTGAAAAAATAAAGATAGCGTTTAATTTTTTTATTTTGCTTGTTTATTTTTAATTAATTTTCAATTTATTTTTCGCATCACTATTTTATTAAGGAGAACATAAAAAATGTTATAAGTGTACACGTAAATAGATAACCTCGAAGATTTATTCAAAAAAGAAAAAGAACAATATAGAAAAACTTCAATGTCATCTCTTGAAAATCCATATATAATAAAAAGGGTCTTAATTGATGTATTAATAATAAAAATAATTGAAATAATTAAGTTGTAATTATCTTAATTTCATTTAAATCTATAAAAACTTTATTCTTAATTTAGAATAATATATTAAGAATAATATAATAATAATCTAATTAAGAAAATCATTTGAATTGCGCGCTAAAATATTCACTATTACATTTATATTATATATTTATATATTTCGATCTATTAAATTTTCTTTCTTCTAAGATTTCTTTTCCTGTAAAAAATCATAAAAAATATTTTCAGATTATGTAACGAAAGTAATTGAAATAATCATAATATATAAGTGATCCATCCTTTAATTTTATTCTTCAAAAAATATGCATTTTGTTTCTTTTACAAATCTTTCTATTTTCGAATCAAATAAAACAGCATATTTATATATCTTATATAAATATTTTACGTTTTTAATACTACATTATCTATTAACTTTTATATAAGAAAATCATTTGAATCGCGTGTCAAAATTGCATAAATATTCATAATATTTAAATAGTCACATTAAATATTCCCTCTCTTATTTCATTATTATTATTGGAATCTATAAAAAAATATCGTTTCACTTATTTCCTTTACAAACAATGATTCTGTTTTCGTATCAAATGAAACGATATATTAAACATTTATATATTAAATATTAACAAAATATCACGCTGAAATTACTGTCAGATACTATCAGAATACTTTTGATCAACGTACATCATTTGAATCGCGCGCCAAAAGTTCACCATTCAGCTTTCGTCATATCTTGAAGTATTGAATAGATTTCATTTTCCATGAAAGATCGTAAAGAATATTCCTCCGGCTGTGCACAGCCGTATAATATCGGGCTATCCCATATATCAGACTAACCCCTTCGCGGTTCCCTGCTGGTCTCATACCGACCTCGTGCTGCAAGCGCACTTAACGTGCTCGCGTGTTTGCACGTAGACCTATATACCGACTGGGAGGGTTGCCTACGTAAGTCCTTTATGTGCTTTAATGCCTGACCGTAACCCGATGCGTGTACTTCGCCGTCTTAGTTAAGTGCAAACGAGAAACTATCATCTGTTATAAAGGAATATAGATGGAAAATAAAAATAAAGACGAATCATGATGATTTTTTAACTTGTTCTAAGTTTCCTAAATAATTGTTCTAAGTTTCCTGGATAAAAATAAAACTTTTGATGGATATTTAACGAGGATGATACTAATTTAATTTAATTGACATTTCATTCTCTTAATATGTATAATCTTGTATAACATGTGACATTGTTCACAAGTGTTTGGACAGTTTGATTTAGTAGTTATAATTTTGTTTTCGAATTTTATTAAATTTAAAATTTTCTATTTATTATTTATGAAATGTAATATTCAATAGACGAGTAATTGGAATTAATTGATACAAAATTTAAATTAAATTGGAAAAAAGTGATCAAAAAAAAATTTTGCATGTTTTTCAATCACAGAATATCCATTGCCTTGGATAATCTATCCAATATCCTAATATTTTTATGAAAATATAAAAAAGATATTTAAAGGATTTTATAGAAATATTTTACAAGATTTTTCCTATATATAATTTTGTATAACGTTTTTAAATTTACATAACGATAAAATGAAATATCATATAAAAATTTGCTATTAATCTTTGAATATTTTGTATAAAATTTTCTTAATTATTATGATTAATTTATATTCTTATATAGATAATATTAGAGGTAATATTCATATAAAACATTTAATTTTTTATAAATCTTGTTAAAATATCTTGTAACAAATGTCAATACATTCTAAATCCATACGATGTTAATATTTAAAACATAGAAATTTTAAATCTATATGATGGCAAAGTCAATATTATTTAAAACGTAAAATTATCCCATAAATCTCGCTGCAAACAAAAAAGATAAAGTTTGCTGTGGCAAAATATTAGAGAATAAAATTTGATGTAATTTCGGCAAACTTTATTCTCTAATATTTTTAAATCCACTTCGACGAGAAACGTATAATATTTAAATTCATATTTAAACGAAATTAAAATATAAAATTTCTTATAAATCTCGATGCAAACATGATCTAACTAAAATATCCTACAACAAATATTTTCCTATTTGATATTTCTATGCAATGTTAACGATCAAATAACATCTTCAAATCCATAGAATAAAACATTACAGTTTCCTTTAAATTTTCCTCTAAACTGTCTTGCAATATCCTAAAAATACGAAATTTCATTTCCTGAAAAACGATATTAATATTTAAATCTTAGAATTTCCCGGATATCTGCTCCAGATTCAAAAATTTCCTCCAAACCTTGTTACCAATGTTCAATCGAGGAACTATATAATTATATAGCGAATGAATAAAAATATTACTATACTTAAAAGTCAAGATATTAATAAACATTTGATTTTCACCTGATAAACGACAATCTTTTTCGCACGAGAGAAAATCCTCGGTTAACTTCGTTGTACGTATAATCGGCGGCTGTTCGCTTTCGGCCATACTGTAATTGCTTGAATTTGAAAATTAATTAAGCCAGAATGTTAAAGGTTCGTTGCGTGAAGCGCAACGAAACGAATTTCTTATCTCGTCGCTTAATTACTCGGTACGAGCAACTTCTTGATGAAAGGATGTTACATCTAGGGCGTAGGTGCGAGCGGGATAAATTTAATGCAATTACCTTGTGAATTATTTGTTTCGTCCGACAAGGTGGAAAATGAAATTACCAGAGGTCAGAATCTTTCTACGAGATGAAATTTTGCCCGAAAAATATTCATAGAATGTAGTTGGATGATCGATCGAGAAATTTTGTGATGGGAATACTTGATAATTATATTGAGACTGTTTGGGGAAGAAAAATAAGGATATTTTATATTTTCACTCTTTTCTTTAGTAATAAATACAATACAAAATAATTGAAATTAAAATTAGTAAGATTTCTTTACAAATTAAAATCCATTTTATTATTTAATAATAAATATCAAGTATCTTATATGTGCATAGATCTATCTTTTATTTTTCATCATTATATTATAATTAAAAATACAATATAGTTTAAATTATTATTAATATTTTCAAATTTCGATTATTTTATAATAATATAAATTCTCTGGTTTTTAAAAAATCACAAAATGAATCAGAATAAATTATATCTTTGATTTTTATATTTATTTTATAATTTTATATTAATTTCCTTCATATTTGCAAAATATCTTTGATCATATGTTATATTGATTATTATCTGCATAAGTAATTTTAAAGTACTTTAAAGTATTATTTTACTGTTTCATGAACTGCTTTATTATTCATCACTTTATTTTATTCATAAATTCTAAGTTATATATATGTACATTATATCACTGTCTTTATTTCAATATCATATATGAAAATTTGTAATGAAATTTGAATTTTCAATATTCCCAAATTCACTTTATTATTAATCTCTATGTAAATTATTAACAAAATTTTATATGTGTCAAATTACAAAGAATATATACATGTTACATATAATATTAATAAGAAGTTTCATTGTGAAACATATAGAATTTACAATTAAATTTTATATATTATATATTATTATTTATATCTTTTTCTATCTTTTTCAATTTATACAATTTTTTTTATTAACTTGACTTTTAAAATTCAATATTCATTTTTTTTTTTAATTTTCCAATTTTAATTAAAAATAGATATTTCCAACTTATTTCTTATTTAACTGAAGTCCTATATTTTCTATATATTCTACTTTCTGCAAGCACTACAAATTTCCAAGTTTCTAAATTTACAACTAATATTGGTTTCTAGCTTTGGATTTGCAGTAATTTCAAATTCATTTCAATATCTGATTCTCTAAATTTCCAATTTTTCACAAATATATTAAACTTTCAAATAGTTTCGATTCTAAAATATAATTTAAATTACAATAAATTAAAATAAATTACAAAACATATTAATGAAGTTAACGATAAATATTCAAATATTTTAATGTTAAGTTTTGATATTATTTAGTTTCTCGTTTATTATACAAAAAAATAAATAATAATAATAAATAAAATTTGTATTTCTAATTATGAATATGATATATGAAGTATAATGAATAGTTTATTGTATTACAAAATAATAAATCTAATAATATTATTGCAATAATTTCGAAACATAAATATTAACAAAAGTTTTAGTACATTACAATATTTAATTTTCAAATTTTATCCATTTTATCATATTTTAAATTTTCATCGTATTTTAACGTTAATTCTCCAATTTTTAAATTCACTGAATTTCACTTTGTCAAAAGTTTAAATTCTCAAATAATTGTAATTTTCAACCA